ACTTAGAAGCCAAAATTCAACATGCCTTCACAAAAAATAAAGGAACTGAATCTGCTATTTTTATTTTACTAATGACAATTCAACTTCATCCTAAAAAAAAAAAAAAAAAAAAAAAAAAAAAAAAAAAAAAAAAAAAAAAAAAAAAAAAAAAAAAAAAAAAAAAAAAAAAAAAAAAAAAAAAAAAAAAAAAAAAAAAAAAAAAAAAAAAAAAAAAAAAAAAAAAAAAAAAAAAAAAAAAAAAAAAAAAAAAAAAAAAAAAAAAAAAAAAAAAAAAAAAAAAAAAAAAAAAAAAAAAAAAAAAAAAAAAAAAAAAAAAAAAAAAAAAAAAAAAAAAAAAAAAAAAAAAAAAAAAAAAAAAAAAAAAAAAAAAAAAAAAAAAAAAAAAAAAAAAAAAAAAAAAAAAAAAAAAAAAAAAAAAAAAAAAAAAAAAAAAAAAAAAAAAAAAAAAAAAAAAAAAAAAAAAAAAAAAAAAAAAAAAAAAAAAAAAAAAAAAAAAAAAAAAAAAAAAAAAAAAAAAAAAAAAAAAAAAAAAAAAANAATTGTGTGAAAATTTCAAAGGAATTGGTAGGAACAAACGAACATTACATTTTTATTTATATAGATAGATAGAAGATGATCTGCTTTAGTTCATCCTCACAAAAAAGCAAACTTAGGGTGTCATACTCGTAGCGCCATCTGTTGGACATAAAAGCCTTAACCCTAGATGATATCTTTTAATTTATATGAATGTTTAACAAAAAATCTGCAGGTTTGATTAGTGGTAAACATTCCAGGGGTCATAAAAGATGCTACAGTTAAAATTTGGTAACGATTGGTTCAGTAGTTTTCACGGTTAGTGGTCACAAACGAAAAATACGTTGTCTCTTTATATAGTAGTATAGATATAGATCCCAATAATAGTATATTAATATACCCCATGTTTAAATTTTTCTCCATTGTGTGTCACTTCACATTGAATTTTCGTTGATGTTAAGCCTAACGAAAATTTTTATAATAATAATCGTGGCTATTGTATAGTTAAAAACTATTTCTTTATTTTCTGCAAACATAATAAATATATTGAAAAATATAAAAACAAAAAAAAGAGATACTTTAAAAGTTAATTTAGTATCAAAAACGTTCAATTCAGCAGGACACAGTCTGACTGGAACGCTTTCGGTTAAACAATGTTTTGGTTGATTGACATTCAGATAATTGATGCTCTACTGTATTTACAAATTCAATTTTTATTCATATATTTATTATATTATCAAGAAAAACAACAGTATAAATTTAATGATACATAAAAAATAAGTTTTTCCAATCCTAAAAGAAACAATGTTTCTCTTCAATGAAATTCAATTTAACATTTTTCACTATTAATAAATAGCATAACACACACACACACACGTGTATATTTTTTCCATAGCACTATCATTTTTGCATTAAATTTTTCAAATAATAGTCTCAACACACATTAAAATTAATTTAATAATTTTAACATTTTAAAAATTTCATCTGTACTTAAAAATAAATTCCTAAATTTTAAAATGAACATTTTTACTTCTTCCTAAATGGATGTAAAAAATAATTTTTTACATCAAAAAACTGATAGTACAATTTATAGAACATTGTACAAAATTATTCTATTAATTGTACACAAAATTAATTTAATTGTCTAATAAGAACATCTTTTATATCTGTCTATATATAACTATTATCCACCAAATACAAAAAGAGGACAGTTAATTTGTTACTTAATAAAAGAATTGAAGTTGTAAAAATTATTTGTTGCGTAAATAATTCAATTTTTTCCTAGTTCAAATTATAATTTTATAAGAAATTCCATTTGTTCACCTCTTTCATCAATATTTCTTTGATGAAAGAGATGAACAAATTAACCAAATACAGTAGAACCTCAATTATCTGGACCTCCATTATCCGGATTTTCGACTATCCGGAGTGTTCAAAATAAACAAAAATTTTACGAATTTGCTGATTTGCACTTGGTGAATTACGACACTGTTTATGTACATGATGGAATGCATAACATTTTTTGTTTTGACAACGTCTCAGTGGTTATAAACTCTTAAATATATTTTGCGTCGTAATACAAATATAACTTGACATACGTATTTATAAATAATTTATATTCAAATTACATCATTTCTATGACCAAGGGCGGCGTAAGGCATGGGCAACGTGGGCCACTGCCTATGCCTTGCGGTCTGAAGGGTCTCGCGCCTTGAAGGTTTATGCATTACTTAAAAGCCGAGAATGCGACGAAAAAATTTTACTCGTCATAAAACAATAAATAGTTTGTCAAATTTTTATTCATAAAAATGCAGTTTCAACTGCTTTTTATTTTATAAAATCCGTCTTCTTGCGCCAC